GAGGCAGGAGTAACGTACGCAGTGCATAACGGCAACATCAGTCAAACATTTGTGAATTAATTCTTTCAGTTATGCCCTTTCCTCTCTGTAACTGTTTTCTATGTGTCTTGTTGTAGTCCGCTTTTTTTTTCCCCCTCTTTCTCTCTCTTTTTCGTTTTGATGTGTATGTGCTTTTGGCGCTTGGCGAGACGGTTATCTTTTAAGCAGATATCATACATGCTTTTTTTTGTGGGGCTGGGTGGGTTATTGGCTCCTCAGATTCTGTAGGGCTGTTTTTTTTTCTGAGTGAGCCTCACCCACGAGCCCTCGCGACTTCTCCGTGTCTCTGCGTGTGTGCGGCGTGGTTGGAGGCGGAGCCGGGGGAGGGAAGGGGCGTCGCTGGCGTGCAGCGACGGGTCTTGTGCGTCACACGCCGACACCTCTACTCGTTGGTTCCCCCCGTGTCGTCCTCCTCGTCGCCGCCGTCGCCCACGACCGCCACTGCCGGAGCTGCCGCCACGCACCAGAGCAGCAGCAGCAGCAGTCTTGGTTGCTGCAATGACGCTGAGAGCCAAAGGCAACGCGTAGGAGGGGCATACTTCGAAATTTAAGCGGCGGGTCACCCCATGTTTTTTTTGGGCGTTTTTTTTATTGAGGCCCCTTTATGCACCGGTTGACTGCAAACGGGCCAACGAGAGGGAGGAAGTCGGCTGAGACAGAGCGAGCGCGGGCGAGAGAATGTGTGTGTCTCTGTGTGTGTGTGGGTGAGGGTGGAAAGGGGGAGGAGTACATGCCTGGGTGCATTTATCCTGATGCTTCTCTTGACGCGCTGTCGCCGCTCGCTTTGTGTTGTTGTCCTTACTGTTTGCCTTGTAGCCTCTCCCTGACTTTCCCCACCACCACCCGTCAGTGTTGTCTCTTTACTTCCCCTCCCCTCCCCTCCCTTCCCTGTTTTCTGTTTTATTTGCTTTGTTTTTTGTTTTCACTTTTGCTTTGCTTTGGCTTTGAGTGCAGGATACGCAGCGGCGCGAAGGGTTTGCCACGCGACTCCCCGCGCCGGAGATCCCCCTTCCCCAGAAACCAGCGGGGCGGCGATATACCATCGGGCGTGTGCGAGGCGGACAAGTTCACTTGTCGTGAAGCGGGACGCGAAACCAGGCGAGGCGAGGTGGAGCAGCCGCCAGAAACGGAAGGCACGCCATAACACAAACGGGGAAAGAAGGCAACACACACACACACGCACGCAAACAAAAAAAAGAAAAAGGATAACGTCGCGGAAATATCTAAAACAACCAAAAATTGACGGTGACGTCCACTGGGCCAGGAGTCGACGCTTACCTATCCGTGTACATATATATATATATATTTCTGGAGGTGGGAGCACTTGTAAATATTTACAGTTGGGCACCACTTCGGTTGTTGTTGTTATTTCTTTTATTGCGGAGTCATGCCGTCATTGAACAATTCGTTTGTGGGTGGGGCCGCACAACACGCGCGCGTCGATGAGTCTGTAAGCATATGGAAGATACTTAAGCGTATTATCCTGATAACCGTCCCGCTCAGTTTTGCGCAGCTTGCACAGTTCTCCATCAATGTTTCTATGATTGCCGTCGTTGGGAGGTTGGGTGTAAATGAGTTGGGTGGTGCCTCGATTGCGTACGGCCTTATTAATGCCACGGCATTTGCCTTTGCCGCCGGGTTTTGTGGGGCACTGGAGACGGTGCTTTCCCACACCTACGGCCGAGATCCCAAGAGTAAGTTGTACGGCGTGTACACGCAACGTATGTTTCTCTTGCTGATGATTGTTGGCCTTCTGCTCTCTCCAGTCATCTTGTTCAGTGACCGCATTCTGCTGTTCTTTGGTCAAAATCCTGACGTGATCGTCTTTATAGGGCAGTTCTGTCGCATTTGCGTGTGGGGGATTCTCCCAAGTATGATGCTGGAGTTGCTTCGACGCTACTTTGCTTGCCAGCACCTATCCACTCCCCTCTCTGTGAATCTGGTGCTGGGGGCCGTGCTCTTTCCGTTTCTACTCATAGGATGCGTCCATCTTTGGGGGTTTGTTGGCGCCCCGGTCGGTTGGTGCATTCTCATGGTGTTGATGTCGGGAGGTCTCCTGGTCTACCTCATGGTGACGAAAAAGTACAAGGATACCTGGGGCGGCTGGGACGACGCCGCCTACAGGAATTGGGGCCCACTTCTCAAGCTCGCTCTTCCTTCTATGGGAATGATGTTGAGTGAATGGGTCTCGCTGGAGATAAACAATATTTTTTCCGGCTTTGGCACACGGGAGGAACTCGCCGCATATGGCATTTCGTTTCAGTTGTCTAGTGTGTGTTGGGCCGCAACCTCTGGCGCCTTTATTGCGGGCTCGGTGCTGGTAGGAAATGCCATTGGCGAGGGGAAGCCCATGCTGGCGCGTCGTATGGCATTTTCTTGTGCAGGCGTGGGCGTTTGCATCGCGCTGCTGAACCTGTGTGTGGTGTTCCTCGTCCGGAATCTCTTTCCCTACTTGTTCACGGACGATGCCAAGGTGGTCAAAATATTTCACGTACTACTCCCCTATTTTGTTGTCTACCACGTCTTTGACGCCTTTCAGAGCTGCGTGATGGGCATCCTGCGGGGGTGCGGGATGCAGAAGCTGGGCGCAATTATGGTTCTCATGGTCTACTCCATCGTGGGCGTCCCCCTGGGCGTGGTCATCTTTCTTAAAACCAACTTCGGCGTCCAGGCACTCTGGCTTGGACCCGCCGTTGGCGTGGTGGGGGTGGGGTTCCCGGCGTACATGTACCTGCTGCTGCGCCACATCAAGTGGGCGTCGCTGAAGCCGCACACGGACAAACAGGAGTTGACCAACGTTATCCCAGAGGAGGACGTCGACAGTGTCGTTATCTGCAACAGCAGCTCGAGCGTGAGCCTCGACGCCCTCGAGGCGGAGGAGGACGAGAAGCGGAAAAGGACGGACGACGCGGCGCAGGAGAATACAGTGGCGACGCCCGCAAAGTCGCAGGACCATAGCCAGCTCCCGACCGCAGACGCGAGTAACTTGTGCCAGCCGCCGCAAGGGAAAGACCGGGGCGACACGGAGTAGCAAAGGAACGACCGCCGCTGCTGGAACTCGTGGTGGTGGTAGCGGTGGTTGTGCGGGTCTGTGCGAAATGGATGTATAAATATAATATGTGCTACAAAGCAGGGAGGGCGCGGTGGTCGGAGGACAACGGAAACGAGGAACGAAAGACATAAGTTAGCTGACAGTGTAAAAATGACTGGAGAAGGCAAGGAAAGAGAAGTGCGTTGAACTAGACCTACTCTCCACACCTTGTGCGTGGCTGTGCGTGTGCCCCGTGTTTATTTGGTGTCGAATGAATGACGGGGTTATCGCATTTCCAGTCGAGAAGGCGGGGGAAAAAAGAGGCAGGAGTAACGTACGCAGTGCATAACGGCAACATCAGTCAAACATTTGTGAATTAATTCTTTCAGTTATGCCCTTTCCCTCTCTGTAACTGTTTTCTATGTGTCTTGTTGTAGCCGCTTTTTTTCCCCCCTCTTTCTCTCTCTTTTTCGTTTTGATGTGTATGTGCTTTTGGCGCTTGGCGAGACGGTTATCTTTTAAGCAGATATCATACATGCTTTTTTTGTGGGGCTGGGTGGGTTATTGGCTCCTCAGATTCTGTAGGGCTGTTTTTTTTTCTGAGTGAGCCTCACCCACGAGCCCTCGCGACTTCTCCGTGTCTCTGCGTGTGTGCGGCGTGGTTGGAGGCGGAGCCGGGGGAGGGAAGGGGCGTCGCTGGCGTGCAGCGACGGGTCTTGTGCGTCACACGCCGAAACTTGTACGGATGTTTCTTCCTCTGCACGCATAAAGTGTGTGAGTTGC